AAAGAATGACTGGTCCAAAGTCATCCAGCTGGCTTTCAAATCTAAGGTGAGACTAGAACTCACAGCCTCCTGGTTTCTAAGCTACCACCTTAGCCACTAGGCCAATTGATTTGAAAGAGCAGGGAAAAATGTGATGGGATTTAAACTAGACAGTTGGCAGATATGTAGGATTTGAATCTTGTGTTTGGTGATCTTCCTTCTTGTTTTTAATAATACAGATTCTCTTTCAGGAATAAGGGAGTAAACTTTCACAGGTGTGTGCTGCTCACCATGACGATGCCAAAATCTTGAAACTCTACATATCATGATTCAAAGTCCACCCTTTGTACATGCATTATGATTGTCAGAGTATGGGAAGGGAAAGAATTTTTCCAGACACTCAGGCAGTCTTCTTTTACAACATAAAATGACTTTTATGGTTTCAATGGAAATAAAATAAATAACCTGTGCTTATATAAAGTAGTCCTAGCTTAGTAATGTAATATACAATCATATACAAGACCTCCTTGCAGGTCTTCAACTGTTTCAGCCTTTCCTTTATTTCTATGTTGTTGTTAAATTTAATCACTGGTTAGGTTAACCCCTTCCAAAGGCTGTTTTGCTTTATTTTCACTTTCATGTTTCTAACTTAGAGAGAGAGGAAAATAATCTGTTTTTCTGAATGTCCTGAAAAGTAAACATCTTTGTCACACTTTGCTCTGCTATTTTGCTGTTTTTCCCCCCAATGTAACTTCATTTCACTAGTTAGTCCGCTGCACAGATTTTCCTGTCCAATTCTGCTTGCTCTGCCAGTAACCATATTCCTTTCCTCTGGAGATCCCCTCTCCGACTCTGTTGCCCTGCTTTCATCCTGTGACTTCAATCATCCCGATCCTTGATACTGTAAAGCACCTCCAGCACACAAGGACACACAAAGCACAAACAACCAAAATTGCTTTGCCTGATAGAGCCACCCCATATAAACATCTTTACTAGAAGGCAGATATGCTTGCTCACAGGTGTCTCAATTAACCCAAGAACCCAAGGCAGCCTTTTAGCTGTCTATTTAATGCTTTTCATGCTGTTGACAAATAGACAACATTCTATCCTTGAGGCAAACTACAAGCCAGTCTTAACTAGGGAGAACTGCACAGTGACTCTCCACAGAAGTACATAAGAGGTGCAGTTTGTGTCATGACATTGCAGTGTGTGTGTTATATCACCTCTCCATCTTTCTCAAGGATGCCTATGGCTTATTAGTTTGGGAAGGGTAAGGATTTACTGGCGGGCCTGGGTGAAGACTGATCTAAATTATTAGAGTGTGAACATTTATTTATTTATTTCACTAACTTCTATGCCGCCCTTCTCCCCACGGGACTCAGGGCGGCTCACAGCATGTTAAAAAACAACACAAAAAACATTTCCCCTATAAAACCAATTAAAAATCAAATATATTAATGGCTGTGTCATTATTAAAATCTTTAAAAATTTTCCCTATTTAAAATTCACCCTAGGTCAGTCCCGCTTGTTGAAANGGGGGGTAGTTCGTTCCAGAGGGTGGGGGCACCCACAGAGAAGGCCCTCCCCCTGGGGGTCGCCAGCCGACACTGCCTGGCCGACGGCACCCTGAGGAGGCCCGCTCTGTGGGAGCGTACCGGTCTGTGGGAGGGAATCTGTGGCAGAAGGCGGTCTCGTAAATATCCAGGTCCCGTAAATATATATGCAGTATATGTCTAATGAGTGTGTGTATTAAATATTCTATGATATGTCCTATCAAATATATCAATTGTGCGGAAGATATGTGAATGCAAATAGGATGTATGATATGCCTTTGTTACATATTTGATTCCTGGAGAAATTGAGCTGTTTGATTAAATCATATGTTTATTATATCAGCATATCAATTCCTTTGCAGGGACTCTGTGCAATGTGCTTAAGGTTATCCCAGTACACTCTAAGAACAGTCTTGGAAGTAGGTCAGGCTGAGTGATTATGTCTGGCACAGAGTCAATCAGTGGACCGATAAGAGATCTGTACTGTGCCAGTATCATAGTGACTTCTGCACAATATTTACAAGCTTCAGTAAATTCACTGAAATTTAATTCATCATATTGATGTGACTGAGACAAAGTTAACACTTGAGATAGTTGATGTTCAGTAATCTCTCTCTGATAGACAATTGATAGGTAATGTTTTGGGTCAATCACATATTTGAAATTTAGAGAGCTAATTATACCACAAATGTGTGGTAAAACACAATGATGTTTTTGGGCTGGCCATAATTCCATGCTATCAAAGGGTTGACCACAAAACACTTATTTATCTAAGGCAAAGTTGCCTGCCATTTCTATTATCCTGATAATGGTACTTTCTACCATTTTATCCCCCCCCCCCCGGTATGGTGACTACAAAGAGTCATTAGTCATTTATTTTCTACGAATCCTATGAGGATAAAATAGGACTCAGATGCATTTGTAAAGTAGATATGTGTAGCTTTTTGCAACCTGCCAGTTCTATGTATTTATGTTCAGTTAAATAAGCTTGCTGTATTTGGCAATCTGCGAATTATATTGATTTAATAAAGGTCTTTAAAAAATGCAGTCCAATGGGCAAGGTGCCCGTGGGAATTATTTTTCTTTGTCCTGGGAATGAACTTCTTTCAGCAGCAACCAAGATAAAAATAAACGTTAAGAAGTGTCAGATCTTAAAGAGAAGGTTTTTTTTNTTTTAAACCATTCTGGTTCAGAAAGTAAGATTTGTATATTGATATAAGAAATGCCTCTGAATTTCACCTTGAATTAATTTGGAAACTACGTATTATTATTTTGATTGAATTGCTTCATTAAACCAAGGTTCAGTTTTATTTGTTAAGTGTTGAACTCTAAGGAAAAGTGAATTAAAGGTCTATAGCTATGGCTATAGGGTGTGCCAAATGCGTCGAATACTCATTGGAGCTGACAGTTGTTACAAACTGAACAACTAAAATAGTTTGCATGTTATTCATTAGAACAGTGCATGCTTGCAAGCACATTGTTGTTGTTAGTTGCAAAGTCGTGTCCGACCCATCGCGACCCCATGGACAACGTTCCTCCAGGCCTTCCTGTCCTCAACCTGCAAGCACATAGTTGCAACTAAATAATTATTTCATTAAGAACAAATAGTGCTGCTCTTATGTAAAAACTGATTTGTAAGAATTTTTTAGTCTTGGGATAATAAAATGGCCATTAGTTTCCAGATATGATGTGCCTTTACTGCTTGTAGGTATTAGAGGAGGCTTGTCCACAGTTTTTATCAGAAACAGAATTCAATAATGGAGATGGAATAATTGTTCCCTTAAGACCAGAGGTTCTCACCATTTCAGTCTTGGGCTTCTTTCCATTTTCAAAAAGTTGAGGACCCTAAAGAACTTCGTTTTATGTGGATTACATCTATTCATACTTAAAGTATTAGAAATTAAAACTGAATTTTATATATATATTTGACTTTGTGGACTCTCTGAAAGAGTCTCAGGAATCCCAGGGGTGTATGTGTCCCCAGACCACACCTTGGAAACAACTGCTTTAGACTTCTTTTCCTGCATGTCCCAAATCTGTTTTGGAGAGTTAGCAAACTTCCTGAAACTGTTATGGAAGATGCTGGAAGAAGACATCTTATGTGGTATTGGATATAGCTTAAATGTATTTGTTACATTGCGTGCAAACTTTTTGAGAAACATCCTTTTAACATAAATAAGGTGATGATTGAACATGCTGTTTATGCTTTGACAATGAAACATGGGTTGTGTCCTTTCTTGCCAAGTCAAAGCTGATTTAACAAATATTTATGCCTTGATTAATTTCACTAGTCGCTAAAGGCTCCCTGCAATGGGCAATAAGTTATGCTGCAGTTTTGATGGTTGACATTTTAGTGATATTTCCAGGGTAACTTGAAGGGCTGTTTACCTCTGCTTACCTGTTCACTGATATACAACAAGATAAACATATTGCCTAAAAAGGGCTGTGGGTCAAATTTTATTTGGGAACAGTGATGCTTTATAGGAATTGTAGGAAACATTTTAGGGTAATTTTTATTTATTTTGGTTCTTTAAGAATATCAAATCTATATACGATTAAAACTCTTGTGTGTGAGGGTAAAGGTTCATTCTCCTAGCTTGTGGGTTGGTTTCTGAACATTTCATTACCAGGCTAGGTAACATCTTCAGCAAAGTTTGGGGGGATGTCAGTGTTCAGTTTATAAGGGCTGCAGCTGCAGCTGTGGGTGTGTCAAGTGAGGGTCTTGTGATGGATCAGGTGTGAGTCATTAGTGAGAGGCTTGTGATGGGTCTTGTGATAGAAAGGTTAGATCAGATCAGGATCATTGAGAAGTGAACAGCTGTGGGGGGGACAAGACCCATCATAAGACCCTCACCTGACACACCTGCACCTGAAGCCCTTATAAACAGAAGAACACTGACACTGACATCCCCTAAACTCTGCTGAAGATATTACCTAGCCTGGTAACGAAACATTTTGGAAACCAACCCACAAGCTCAGAGAACGAACCTTCACCCTCATCCTATACCCAAGCTACAGATATTCACCACTATTACAAACTCTTGTGTCTGTTTGATTGTGTGTAACCTTCAGTTGGCGAAATGGTGATTCATAGAACAACATTTTTTGAAGAAATATACCTCAAATGGGCTAACATATAGAATACATCCAAAATCTGTGACCCATTATTCCAGTCGGATTGAAATTTGGCAAAGTTGTGGCTGCTTCATTATTGCCATGCTGCCGTGCTGCTATGGTCAACTACAACCATGTGATCTTCATTTCCACTGTTCCCTGCCAGCCTCCCATAAGGAAAATAAATGGGGGCGGGGAGGGAGTGAGGGTGTTCAGGCAAGGCACAGCACGGGTGGGGCAGGAGTGACAAGGAAGGTGTAAGGAAGGTGCAGCACATATCTGGGAGGATTTTGAGGGACGGTGTGTGAGAGGTGCTGTAAGGTTGAAGGAGACTGAATGGGGGATATGGGAAAGATGGACATTGTTCAAAGAGACTGTATGAGAGGGGTCCTGCAGATCAGGGAGCTTACACAGTGGTGCAATGCAAGTTGGAGAGAATGCATATTGTTGCAAGGGGATGCACAAGGAGGGACAGGGAAGGTCCGGAAGGTTGTGCAGGAGTGTGCAAGTGGTAGGTAGGGAGATATCTCTGAAACAATGATCAAGAAATCACAGGCTGTCTAGTGATATACTGCATCCAGTTTTGGTTGCCACAGTGTAAAAAAAGATGTTGAGACCCTAGAAAGAGTGCAGAGAAGAGCAACAAAGATGATCAGGAGACTGGAGGCTAAAACATATAAGGAACGGTTGCTGGAATTGGGCATGTTTACTTTAATGAAAAGAAGGACTAGGGTGACATGATAGCAGTGTTTCAATATCTCAGGGGTTGCCACAAGGAAGAGGGAGTCAAGCTATTCTCCAAAGCATTTGAAGGCAGGACAAGAATCAATAGATGGAAACTAATCAAGGAGAGAAGCAACCTAGAACTAAGGAAAAATTTCCTGATAGAACAATTAAGAAGTTGTGAATGGAAGTTTTTAAGAAGAGATTGAGCAACTATTTGTCTGAAATGGTACAGGGCTTCCTACCTGAGCAGGGGGTTGGACTAGAAGACCTCCAAGGTTCCTTACAACTCTGTTATTCTATACTATTCTATTCTAATTAGTAGAATAGAATAGAGCTGGAAGGGACCTTGGAGGTCTTCTAGTCTAGACCCCTGCTCAAGCAGGAGAACCTATACCATCTCAGACAAGTGACTCTCTAGCCCAAGGGTCCTCAACTTTGGCGACTTTAAGACTTGTGGACTTCAACTCCCAGAATTGAAGTCCACAAGTCTTAAAGTCGCCAATGTTGAGGACCCCTGGTCTAGCCTCTTCTTAAAAACCTCCAGTGGTGGGGCACCCACAATTTCTGAAGATAAGCTGTTTCACTAGTTAATTGTCCTCACTGTTAGGAAGTTTCTCCTTAATTCCAGGTTGCTTCTCTCTGTGGTTAGTTTCTAACAATTGTTTCTTTGGGGAATAATTTGACCCCCTCTTTATGGCAGCCCCTCAAATATTGGAATACTACTTTCATGTCACCCCTATTTCTTCTTTTCTTTAGACTAGCCAAACCCAAGTCCCTGCAGCCGTTCTTCATATGTTTTAGTATCCAGGCCTTTGATCATCTTAGTTGCTGTTCTCTGAACTTTTTCCAAAGTCTCAACATCTTTTTTTGTAGTATAGTGACCAAAATTGGTTGCAGTATTCCAGATGTGGTCTTACTAAGTTTTTATAAAGCTATACTAATACTTTGCGTGATCTTGATTCTATGCCTCTATTTATACAACCCAGGATTTTATTAGCTTTTTTGGCTGCTGCTGCACACTGCTGGTTCATATTCAAGTGACTCCAAGGTCCCTCTCACATTTACTGTTTTTGAGCCAGGTCTCACCTAATCTGTACTTATACCTTTGATTTTTTTCTGCCTAAATGTAAAACTTTGCTCTTCTCCCCATTAAAATTCATTTTGTTGGATAAGGCCCATTGTTCAAGTTTGTTAAGATCTTTTTGGATCCTGAGCTTGTCTTCTGGGATGTTGGCTATTCCTGCCAGTTTAGTATCATCTGCAAATTCCCTCATATAAATCATTTATGAAGATATTGAAAAGTACTTGGCCTAAGACTGAGCCTTGTGGCACCCCACTGCTTACTTCTGTCCATGTGGATGTAGTACATTGAGGACTACTCATTGCGTACAGTTTGTCAGCCAGCTACAAATCCCTCTGGTGGGATGTTGACTATTCCACATTTTTCTAGCTTACCAAGAAGTAGGTTGTGGTCTACTTTGTCAAATGCCTTACTGAAATCTAAGTATACTATGTCCACAGCATTTCGCTGGTCTACTAGTTTAGTCACTTTATCAAAGAATGAAATGAGATTGGTTTGGTATGATCTGTTTTTAACAAATCCGTGCTGGCTACTAGTTATAACTTTGTTTGCTTCTAGTTCACAGATCTGTTTTTTATTATCTTTTCCAGGATATTTCCAGGTATTGATGTTAGACTGATTGGTCTGTAGTTTCCTGGGTCTGTTTTTTTTCCTTTCTTGAAGATGGAAACCACATCAACCCTTTTCCAATCCTCAGGTACTTCCCCAGTGCTTTAGGATTTTTGAAAGATATGGTACAATGGTTCTGAGATAACATCTGCCAGCTCCTACAGAACTCTGGGATGTAATCTGTTGGGTCCCAGTGATTTATATTTGTCAAGGTCGGATAGGTCTTACCATTTTCTTGCTTAATTTAATTTTTATTTCTAGTTTGTCTTTTTGCAGTAGTGTTTTTGGTACATTGGGCTATAATTTCTTTTTGTATGAAGACTGATGCAAAGAATGAGCTAAGCAGCTCTGCTTTCTCCCTACTGCCTGTTACTTCCTTGCCATCTTCACTCTTGAGTGGACCTACTGTTTCCTTGACTTTTTTCTTGTTATTAATATGTTAAAGAAACTTCTTTTATTGTTCTTGACTTCTGTTGCAAGTCTTTGTTCATCCTGAGCCTTTGCTTTCCTGACTTCATCTTGCATCTTTGCATGTTCCGGCTGTCTGCTGATAATCAACCTTAGTTATGTGCCCCTCTTTCCATTGTTTGTACTTGTCCTTTTTGTCTTTCAGTTTGTCAGAGATCTTTGTGCAGCCATATGGGTTTCTTCTTGAATTTCTTGTTTTTGTTTTTCGGTGGTATTGTGCTGGACTGGGCTTTTATGATTGCATTTTTCAGATTTTTCCACGCTTCTTGGGTTGTTTTCCCCTTTAGGATTTTCATCCATGGAATCTTTCCTAGGTTCTCTCTGAGTTTGTTAAAATCAGCTCTTTTAAATTTTAAGACACTGGTTGGGTTATTTTCTTTGGCTTGTGTTTGCATTATATTAAATTCCAGTATGACGTGGTCACTTTCGCCCAAGGTTCTGGCAACTTCAACTTCCTCTATGATCATTACTTTTAAACTGATTATTATTTTTTTAGGCATAGCTGATATTTTTGGATCCTTGGTTTTTGCTAATCCATAAATAAATACCTGTTCACATTAAGCATGGATAAAATATTGTTAGTATTATTTTTCCTTTAAGTTTTTAGTTTTAAATCTTTTTCTTTTTTGGATTAAAAAGCTCCCATAACTGCTACTTCAGATAGAAGATTGCATATTAAAATTATTTGATAGACAAATATCCCTTTCTTTTTAAAAATATCGTCCCTAATCTTTATTCCTTAATTCTTAATTTATCTTACTTTTTGTATTTTTGTATAGTAGGTATATATCTATAAGCATAATATAAACATCAGTGTTTGGTTTTCCCAACTCACGTTATTATTCAAAGATATACAATTTTGGAATGATAAAATATAAGAGTTTCCTGTAAAGCATAGAAAAAAATGGGAACTTCGTAATATTGATTTAAGTCAGGCCGATCAATGCTAATTTTCTGCTCTTTCCACCTTTCTTTCATATATATTTTTGTCTCGCAGTAATATTGGTTCAGATACAAAACTAATTTCTGCATATGTGAACTTGACCTCTTCTTTTTATTTTATCTCTCCTGGTTTACAGAAAGCCAGCTCTTGCCTTGGAATAATTTCACAAATGAATGTAATATTCCTGGAAACTTCATGTGCAGTAATGGACGCTGTATCCCAGGAGCCTGGCAATGTGATGGGCTGCCGGACTGCTTTGATGAAAGTGATGAAAAGGAATGCCGTGAGTATACTATACGTTGAATAGTGAAGCTTAAACCTACTATATATAATTCAGTGCATCTCAATCATGATTCATAAGAAGAGAGACAGACAAGTTATCCTATAGGATGTGCAAGGTTTTATAGTAACAAGACTTTCAAAAAGGACTCTCCCAAATGTTATAGGATGGGCAGATTCACTTTGGAGCAGGCTTTAGAGATGACGGGGATGGACTTTAAAGGTGATTTGCAACACTTTGAATGAAATCAGAAGCTCACTGGCATCAGTACAGCTTCTGGACTAACAGTGTTACATGGACAAATCTAGATGTGGCCATCATTCAACCCAGGCTAGTAGATGCTGAACCAGTTTAAGCTTCCAGATGGTTTTCAAAGGGAGTGAATTGTGGTAGTACAGTCATGTGGTAGGCACGAGCGATTGTAAGCAACATCTCCAGGAAGGTTTGCATTGAGGCATAAGATGTAATTGAGCATAAGCTGCCTAGGCATGGTCACACCGTTTGCTCAAACTAAAGCAGCAAGTCCTGGAGAACCCCCAGACTGTTAACTAGTCCTACATAGGTGGGATCGACCCATAACTATAGATGAACCATCTTTGGAATCAGAAAGCTGTTATTCCAAAAGCTAGAGTTCAGCCTAAGTCTTTTCCTTTCTATCCATATCCTAACAGCCTCCTGCTTATATACAACCATCATTTAGTCCTCAACTTGCAGCCATTTGTTTAGTGACCATTTGAAGTTTCAATGGCACTGAAAAAAAATCACTTATGACTGTTTTTTACATCCCCATGGTTACATGATAAAAATTTGGATGCTTGGCAACTTGCATGTATTTATGACAGTTGCAGTATTCTGGGGTCATGTGATCACCTTTTGTCACCTTCTGACAAGCAAAGTCCATGGGGAAGTCAGATTCACTTAACATTAATTTAACAACTACAATAATTCGCTTAACAACTGTGGCAAGAAAGGTCATCAATGGGGCAAAACTCATGTAACAACTGTCTTACTTAGCAGTTGTTTTGTGCTCAACTGTGATTGTAAGAGAAGGGAAATTGATTTATGTCCATGATGAATGTTTCCTTCCTCATTAGAAGCATCATTATTTTCTTATTTTTATAGAAAATGGCCCTGAGATTAAGTAAACATTATTAGCACAAATCACCACCACCTGCCTAGAAGAGCTCACTCAAAAGCACTGTGTTTTTTGTGATTGAGTGGACATTTGAGTGGACAGTCTCAGTTCAAACTAGAAATGATCAAATATTCCAAGTTTTAGTTTCTTAATTTCCATGGATCAAAGCTGTCCTACATTCCTCAAACTGGGAGATGCTTTGCAAGCTGTAAAAGTTGTCTGCAGGTGACATGCTCTTATGAAATTGCATTTAGTATTCTGTTGTTCCAGATCTTGTTTACTTATTAACATAATTATGTCCCCCAAGTTGGTAGGCTGAATTTCAACATTCGTATCCTGATAATGATACCTTCAGACAGCTTCTTGAAGAGCCCTGGTGGCGCAGTGGTTAGAATGCAGTGTTGCAGGCCAACTCTGCCCACAGTCAGGAATTTGATCCTGACTGGCACAAGGTTGACTCAACCTTCCATTTTTGTGAGGTTGGTAAAATGAGGACCCAGATTGTTGGGGGCAATATGCAAATAATGCTTACATTATAAACCGCCCAGAAAGTGCTGCAACACAGCATGAGGCGATATATAAACCTAAAGCTATATTACTAAATGGCCCTGAGTAAAAATTACCAACCCAATCACCACCATCTACCTGGAATAGCTTACTATTCTATATTTGTATGACCTTTAATACAGCTGTTTAGTGCCTTTGGTTCAATTCTAGAAAAGTGCCTCAGAGGATATAGGGATGCTCCTTAAAGTGCCTGCATCTTACTGATGATAGTGGGGCAGCTGCAGAGACCAGGTATGAAATCTCACAAAAGTTGCCTCTTTAAGGTATTGTAGATGTGATCTGTTTTTACCCTTATAAATTTGAGAAGCCATTGGTTTCAATTGGGAAGCCTCAGTTCCAATGAGCTTTATACATTTTTGCAAAGATTTTCTTTATGCTTTCTGTCCTAGTTTTTATATTCCATTTCAGGGATATAAAATAACTTTATATTCTAATAGAACGGTTGTTGCCCAGAACTGTGTGGCCCTGAACTATGTAAAATAAAATTATTTTTTAAAAAACCAGAGCATTAAGAGTAAAAACTAGATGGGATTTCCTTTTCATATCACAAACATATCTTAAATTAGCTGTGCTGAGATTAATCCTTATGAGGCCTGAGATGAAGTCTACTCAAGAGTTATTTATCTCTCTTTCCACAATAATCAAAATGTGAACGTCATCCTTAAACCTTGTGAAAGAACACAATTTGCCTCTCTATGTGTATATGTATGTATGTGTGTGTGTGTGTGTATAAAAACCATACAAGAGGCTTTTTACTTCTGTTTTCATATAACTTCTTTATTTCCTCTATTGCATGATATTGCCCTCATGAAAATAGAGAATTAATGAAGTGTTCCAAACAGAATTTATGTTTTGCTTATGAATGAATCAGCAAGTGGCTTGGCAGTGGGCACAAACTACATATTGTTTTGTCACTGAGAATAAAATGGAATCCAGTAGAATTCTGGTGGGAGAGAAAACACTGTAACTGCTGATAAAATCTTAAACAGTTGTAAAACCTTAGTTCATAAAACTGATTTCTTCAGTTGAATCAGCTTAAATCTTGGGATTGTTAACTGATGTTCATGGAGAATTATATGTTCTTTCTTTCCAAGATTATTGAAATAATTTAGCTGGGTCATTTTTATTTCACCCATGCAGAGATAATCATCCTGTTCTTTTTTCATCTTTCCTTATCTTTGGATAGTAGCATAGCAAAAATCATGAATAAATTTGAACAAGAGTAAAGGGAAAAGAACCTAAGAACAGGTGATTCATTTCCTGTGCTATCCTACATTGACAGAGGAGCTAAAAGAAACAAAGGGAAAAAAATAGAAGACTTTTATAGTTTCTGGTTCAAGTTACTGTGAAGGGCTGCAGACTGTAATTTCTTTTTATATGAAATCTGTCTCCATATATAAGGGTGATTTAATTTACCTTTGAAAATGGAATAAATGATAAGAACTGTAATGATTTATTAAAATAAGTGAAGGAAAAAAGTAAGCCCTTTGTTAACATGGCACAAAAGAATGAATATAGTGAACTAAATAAAAAAGCCTATATGCCCATAAAACTTGTAAAATATGAAGACTCTGGTTGTAGTCTCCAATTGGAAAAGAGCATTTCACATCTGTGTACCATAGATAAGAAAGCCCAGTTTTGTATATGGTTATTCACATTCTCTCTCACACAGACAGACAGACAGACAGAGTGGGCAGGGCCAGGTCCATAACTACTATTTCAGAAATATCACCTGGGCATCACAGCTATGTTCCCTAATCATAATTGACACCAATTACTCTTAATATTACACTATAAAAATATATTCAATATATTCAGTGCAATCACTTCCATTCAATCAGTTTCACTATTTTACTTATAGTTTAGAATCTAAAGCTCTGCAGAAAAAAAAATGGAATAGAGACTTATTTATCCAGAAGATGAAATTTTAGGAAAAAATATGAGTGAGGGGTCCTTGGTGCTCTCTGAGCTGGCTTCTTTTCTTGCAAATGTTTCCTTACCCGAACTAGGTAACATCATCAGTGCTATTGCTAAAATATGAATCTTGGACAACAAATGTTCTTTATCTCTAATTTAACTAGCCGGGATATATATATAGAACACATATGGTAACTCAAAACCTTCAGGCACCCAATTTTCTATTTCTTTGAATAAAGTGGACTGGTCACAAAAGAGGTTTGTGTGAAGTGTGACTGATGATGTTACCTAGCTGGATAGTGAAACATCTGCAAAGCAAACAACCAAGCGCGCTCAGAGAGGACCAAGGACTCCACAGTTCTACCCTGAACTACATATATTCTCTTCTATTGGATATTTTTCTATGCATCTGTTTTACAAAATAATCTTGGCATGCAGCAATACTTAATTGTCAGTTTTTCCAGGCAAACCAGACAGAAAACACAGCTTTACCGTGAACCATACATTAGCATAATCTTGCAAATCTGAAGGTACAAATCTGCTGTAGCCACTTGCCTGATCAATTCGAGCTGGTCCTTCTTAAGTTTTTTCCTCTGACTGTTAAGCCACTACTAGGGGCTCCTCCCCCTCCTGTCTAATTGTTTCCTAAGCAGCATCTCTTCTTCGAGTTCCTCAAGGTCATTCTCACATAACATTACCTTAATTGTATAAAATATCAGTGTACAAGCTCCCTTTTGTTTCTTACTTTCTTAAGAAAGTTTAATTTTAAGAGTAGCTTATACGACTGCATGAATATTTAAATCTGCACCCACTGTGAGTCACTTTTATGACTCAGGTGGCATACAAGTCAATTAAATAAATAAATGTACAAATTCTGTCCCCTGTTCTTGCACTAGAAAGTTTAGTTTAAAAAATACAGAACTGTTTAAAAAAATACAGAACTCTGCAGCATTATTTTCAATTCACTCATGAGAAGTGAAATCCTTCTGAGTAAATTTAAATTTTCATTTGTATTCTAACCTATTAAAAATGTTGATAAGTGTTGAAGTCTTCTAAAAGGTTTTAACAACATCCTGGAAAAAGGATTCTTAATTAAATTAAATCTAAGTCTCATTAGTAGTTACTCTTTTCTAATGTACGGCATACCCTAAATAATGTTTTGAGAAATATACAAATGGTAATCATAAAATAATCCTTCAAATATTTACAGTAAATATTCCTAATCATATTATTTTATTCAGGAAATGTCAGTCTATAAAGGTCCCCATAGGGTCCTTAGTGCTCTCTGAGCTTGGTGGTTTTCTTGCAAATGTTTCATCAACATCAAGGACCCTACTGATCAATCCTGAGCTACAGATATTCTCTTCTATCAGTATAAAGATCT